TTACAATTGCCATTGAGATCTAAGGTATGTGTGAGATTCTCTTTGATTTTTATACAAATAGTATCTATTTATATATTAATAGTATAATTTAACTTTGTGATCTGAAAAAGAGATCAAACATACAATATAAGTAATTGCTTTAAAATAATCTAATCTAGTCTAATAAGAAGAAAATAGATGAAAATAATGTTAAAATTATTATAATATCATAATTCATAATTTTTAAACAATCTAATCTAATCTAATAAGAAGAAAATATCGAAGGCACTTACTTGTTGAAGGAGATGAAAATGCTATGAAAATTATTGTAATTTCTGATCTGAAAAAAGATCAAACATACAATATAATTAATTACTTTAAAATAATCTAATCTAATCTAATAAGAAAAAATTAGATAAAAGTGTTGTGAAAATTGTTGATATTTCTTAATATGAAAAAAAGAACAAATATATAATATAATTAATTACTTTAAAATAATCTAATCTAACCTAATAAGAAGAAAATAACAAATGCATATACATTTAAAAGGAGATGAAAGTGCTACAGAATTTGTTGTAGTTTCTTGGCTTATAAACATTGGTATGCGATGTTGCATGTGAGATGATAACAATTGTAAATATAATTCTATTTAAATAATAATAGTATAATTAAAATTTAAAACTAATTATACAGTACCGTGAACTACTTGAATTTTAGTTGGTAAGAGAACGCCACGTTGGGTCCTCATATCGCAGCCGGTTTTTTAGAATTTCCTTTTTTTTATAATTTTCAGAACGATTTTGTCTATTTAATTTGTTTGGTGTATTTTTCAAATACCTCGTCCACATTATGTGCATTTGTAGGTCTGTGCTATTTCGGGATTCGACCTCTGGGGTGAACATTATTTGTCTCACTAATTTGTTTGGTTTTTACATATACGACATTCACCTTGTATACATTTATAAATTTGTTATTTAATAATTTCATTCAGGTTTATATTTCAATTTAAACTATATTCTTATCTTCATACTATGTATATCCAATTAGAATTTATTAATTTATCAACTTACTCTACTTAATGGATTTGCATTTGAATTTCAAAGGTATTTTTATCTACCAAAAGATTTTTCCAAACTCGTGCTTTTAAAGGGAGTATGATCATACTCTCTTTAAAAGCACGAATTCGGAAAAATATTTCCATGGTCAATATTACCCTTCACTATTTTGAATATTTTATTTAAATCTTAATCTATTTTAATTATAATTGTATTTTATCTAATCCCACGTGAACTAACTAATAGCTCAACAATTAAAAATAAGAATAACAAACTACATGAGATATTATTTTGAATATTTTATTTAAATATTAATCTATCTAAATACTAATTATATCCTATATTAACTCCACATGAACCACCCATAGCTCAACAATCTAACAATCTAAACAAATAAGATTAAGAAATTCTATACAGATAACATACTATAATATATGAAGTATTACAAAGAAACCCAACTTTTTTTAAAAATTACACAAAATATCTTTAAAAGTTTAGAATTACCCAAAACACGCTGACTTATCAAAACTTAAAATAACAAATATAAAATCTAAAAATTAAGTGGAATTTGAAATTACAAAAACAACCTCAAAAGTTCAAATTATAAAAACGTACCCTAAAATTCAGAGATTTTAAAACTTACAAATAGCATAGACGGATTTTACGGATTACCATTAGGCACTTGAAAATTTAAAATTTGTAAAAAAAAATCTAAAAGTTACAAAAATTTAAAAAAACTCCATCAAAAGTTAAAAATCCTAAAATTTCAAAACTTATAACTGGTAGATATCACATCTAGAAGTTATTAGCAGATTGTTGGAAATTTAAAATTTTCAAAAAACAACCCAATGTTTTAGTAATTGCAAAAAAAGCCCTCAAAATTTTAGAGTTGCAAGAAACATCTTAACATTTGAATTCACAAAATATGAAAACTACAAGCACCTAACGAAAATTTTAAATTTTTTAAAACATGCTATCAAAGTTTAAAAATTATAAAACACACCCTCAAAAGCTCAAACTCACAAAAATGCTAAATTTTGGCAAAGAAAATAGTAAATGTTTGATATTCTTTCATTAAGATATATAAATTTAACTTTTAATTTAAAGTTTATCATCCCTTTTCATTATCTGAAAGTAGTCTAAGTTGATACTGGTAAAAATAACAATTATAATAAATTAAAATTATTCAGTTAAGGAATAAAAATCTAAAAAATATATGGTAGATTAAAAATTAATGTTGCTATATAAATTTAAGGAACTGTATATAATTTTACTAATAACATTAAGTAATAGAAGATTAAATTATATAAAACTAACAAAAGACTATAATATAATAAGTTAGCATTAATTGATTATAATATATAAATATTCATCTCTGATGTTAATAATATTTATAGGGTAAAAAATACAAGGAGTTAACGGATCCAAAGGGACAGCCTCTCGGAGCTCCGTTATACCTCTCTTAAACTACAAGCCTACCTCAGCTTCAATAGCTTAAAAAATACCTAATCACAGTATTTAACCACGTGCAATGCAGCCGCTTTTTTAGATTTTCCTTTTTTATAATTTTCAGAACGATTTTGTCTATTTAATTTGTTTGGTGGATTTTGCAAATACCTCGTCCACATTATGTGCATTTGTAGGTCTGTGCTATTTCGGGGTTCGACCTCTGGGGCGAACATTATTTGTCTCACTAATTTGTTTGGTTTTTACATATACGACATTCACCTTGTATACATTTATAAATTTGTTATTTAATAATTTCATTCAGGTTTATATTTCAATTTAAACTATATTCTTATCTTCATACTACTATGTATATCCAATAAGAATTTATTAATTTATCAACTTACTCTACTTAATGGATTTGTATTTGAATTTCAAGGGTATTTTTGTCTACCAAAAGATTTTTCCAAACTCGTGCTTTTAAAGGGAGTATGATATGATATTCAAAATTTTCAACTTCCCCTATATTCTCTTTTCAGTTAACACTCCATCAAATATTATATATTAATCCTACGTATTGTTAATTCGCAAATTATTTATAAGTCTCAAATCATCTCCATTCTCAAGTTATATATCCTGATTTTAAATCTTCAATTCATCATCTAATTTCTATGATCATTGTGCTCATAGTGAATGGCCAACATATTATTATTGTGTAGGAAAAATGAGGGAATTGCGACGAACCACATTACGATGCGAAACATTTTTATGCGACCCAAACACGTGCAAGTTGGACGTGTTGAATAGCAACTAGCGCGTGCGGTAGCTGGCTACGATGTCTCCCTCACGCGAACGTTGGATGCCTCACATGACTAGGCAGTCCAAACACGTGCAATACGGACCACACGTCCCGAACACCGTGCATGCTGGCGAGCTGCACATATATAAGGGGCTGTTTGGTCGTATGTTTTCACCGTGTAAAAGGATGAAAAATATAAAAAAATAGGCCTCAATGTCAGTTTTCATTACTTTACATTGTTTGTTTAAATTCTTTTTTACATGAAAAGTTCATACCTTTTGATGATGTGTCACCAAAAGCAAAATCACCAAAATTAGGAGTGATTTTGTTGGAAAGCTGATACAATGTCATAAATGTGTCCAAAAAAATAATAAAAAAGTCAAAACCTTGTAGAAAGTAGTGAGGTGGATAACCACTTTTTATTGTGTCATAAATACTCTAGTTTAGATTATATTATCCAAACAATGTAATACTATTATTTTAGGATTCACAAAGATTCCTAACCAAACAATGTAAACACTTGAATGGAAAGTGATGAGGTGGATAACAACTTTCTATTTTGTGTCATAAATACTCTAGTTTCCTAAAGGCATCCAAACAACCCCTAAATAGAAGCATAAAATATTAAATTCTCTCTTGCCATCCCACGTGAGTGGGTGCATACTAGCATTTAAATGCCTTATTGTTTCACCATTCTTATAGCAAAATACTCTAAGATGTAAAAAATTATTTTAATATTCTAAATTGTAAAAAAATAATATTTTAATATCTTAAGCATAAAAAATCACACGTTACTAAATTCTCTTAGTTACATGTAAGAATATTTCTAGAAATATTTCTATGTGATTAGTCAATGACCATTTTGTAATTGTATTGACCTTATTTATTGTCATATTTATCATTATGCACACCCTCCATCTTTTTTATTAATTTTTATAGAGAAGTATTTTTGTCATAATGGGTTTTTTAACTGTGTTAATTTACCATATTTTAACGGTGGACAACTTAAAGTATTTGTGTGCTACATTTTATAATTTAGAGCATTTAAGTGTAAAGATGATGAAACAATAGGATATTTAAGTGTCAAATTGCTTTTACTTTTCTTTTTGTAAACAAAGAAACTAGCTAGAGCATGTTTGACAACTTGGTCAAAGTGAATTATAATTTATTTTTTAGATTATAATTCACTTTTTTATGTTTGATTGAATGGAATATTTTGGATTGTAATTCCTAGCTTATTTTTGGTGAATAATAATTCATATGATTCATGTGTTTGACCGATAAAAGACAAAAAAATCATCATCTTTACATCTCATTCTTTCTCCTTCTCCCCTCCTACTTTTAAGGGTGATTTTGTCATTGTATCTAAGGGGCTGTTTGGTTCGTTTCCTAGATATAGGGAAATGCAATTCCATGTAAAGAAACTCAAGTTTTGAGTTTTCCAAACTTTTCCAAGAAATAGATTGTTTTGGTTTGGTTCGCATGTAAAATATGCTAGGAAACCAATGTATTTACTTTTATTGTGTTTGGTTTGCATGGAAAAAAGGGAAAACTTTTATTGATTTGACATTTTCCACTTTTCTTGTGTTTGGTTGGTTTTGAAGTGGGTAGGGAAAAGTATTTATGGTCACCATGGTAAGATTACCCCCCACTATAGGCAAATTTATTTGTGCTTGTTATGGGAGGTAATCTTAATTATATAAAAGTGCAAATGTAGCATGTACAGATAATAATATCCCGAATTCATTATAAATTTCTGAACAAAGCAACGCACGCTCATCAGTTAATAGCAGCAAACAAGTTGTCACACAAGTTAGCATCATAATGAACTAACCCACACCCGCAAAGTGTTTAAAAGGTAAAATAACTAAAGCAAGCAGATTAACAACATGCGACCACTCTGATCTGCTACAGCACCTGGACTTAAAACTGACACAACATAATCAGAACTCGTTTAAAAGCAAGCAACATCACTCTCATCTTCTTCCTTCAGCTTGATCTCGAATTGCTGGTCAAAGTACAGGGAGTCGTCGAGTTCAAAGAGGTCCTCAATATTCTCATAACCTGAAAATGTTGATGATGCTCTTTTAATCCCAAATGTTTTGACTAATGGCATCGATCAGTTCTATGTGGCTTGGTTTGCCACTGTTAAGCAATATGAAGACTATAATACAAGTGCAACAATGGAGAAGAAACTGAAAACTAATAGAGAGTGGTATGAATGTAGTCAACTCAGCAACCTGTTAATAATGGGCCAGGAAGATACCTGACTTTGAGTGAGCGTTGACTCTGGGACTAGGAGGAAGCACATCTTGTTCAAACTCCAACGTTAAGCTATCTTCAGTGTCTGATGGAATTTCCTGTATGAGAAGCAGAAGAAGAAAGTACAGACAGTTAAATAACCACGTAGATCTTCACTTCCTAAGGCCTGTAGCCACTGACATAGAAAGTATATTATCTATGTAACATCTATAGAATCGTCAAACAACACAAGAAAGAGGTTACTGATAAAAAGTGAATAATAATTGCTAGAGAAATTATCAACAGCATAAATTGTAAGCTTTAGTAGATACCATCTTTCCTACAGCATTAACTCAAACATGAACTGGCACAACTGGAAGCTCTATGTAAAAAGATATAAGACAGGATTGGATAGACCTTTAGCAGAACATGCGCCTTTTTGTGAAATCCATGAAAGGGCTGGTTAAGTAGGAAGATGCAAATAATACACAAAAAAATCAGGAGGTTGGAAGGATTGAGTCATCAGAGACACCTGAGCAACTCAGCTGCCACATTACTCGTGATAATAGCCAATGCTATGGTTTCCTCAGCCAATTCCATGTGTGTGAGGCAACTACAATCTGCATAAAGAATTTACTGTTATTACGATTATACATGTCATTTGGTTTTTATTCTTCTCCATTTAATCATTCATGACATACACGCTCCTTGACCTACTTTAGAGAGTGATCATCTAATATTTTAATAAACAATCTTGGAGATTCAACTGCTCAGAATTCAGATATATTCAAAGTTCATTCTTTCTCCGCAGCCACGGGGGCCAGTGTTTGATTCCTTCTAACCCTTTCATCGCATTTGGAATATACATATGCCTCTTAAACGTCGCACCTGCATGTGGCTTACCCTTAATAACAAATGTTGACAAGCAACAAACTTATCATAAGATCATTGGCTGAAGATTACAAACTCATCTTCTGCAGAGATGTGATGGAATCAAATATGCCACAATTTCCCCCCCCCTAACCATACTTTCTCCACAGCATATGGAGCAAATACTCTAGGACTTCGCTACTTCAGCTTGCAATCATCCATTTTGGACCTTCAGAGTACATATGGATCTGAAGTTCCCCAAACAAACATTGATATCATTTCCATAGCAAACATACATTGATATCATTTGAATAGCACTCATAGTAATGGTTGCTCTAGATTGAATGTCAAAGCAAGTCTCTAATCCTAAGATCAACCACCTGACTGCATCACCTCATTGTTGGTTGCTATTTGTGGGTACGGACAACCAATACGTAAGTATCACAGCGATCCACTTTTAGACCAACCGATTACATTAAAATTCAGTTTGTTCTCCTCCATTACAATTCTGCTGCTCCCTCCACCATCTCTTGATCTACTTCTTGCTTCACTTCATTCTACATGTAATTTATACCTTGTATATATCCTCTTTTTAATAAATTGGTATGCTCTCCAATAAAGCAAAAGAATAGAGTTCATTCTCTTCAAGTCATATCCTAGTATAATGATATCTAACAATAAGCATAGACTTTAAGGGTATGCGATAGAATGACAGCATGACATCGATTCGTGGTTATGGAAAAATCCAAGAATGCAAAGTGTGGACACCACGTAGATAAACCACTTGTTAAAAATAATAATTCTCAGTTAAGAGAGTGGAAAATTAAATAAACGCATCAACAATGCAAATGAAATTGCACTACATTTCCTTCTCAAACTAATAGAAACATGGCATAATAACTATATCTACCGAAAATAAAATTCTTGATAGGAACCTGATTATTCACAAACTAAGAGAAGTTGATATGAAATGCATTTTCTGGATCCTGAGTAAGAATGCAGAACCAGTTGAAGTGATAGGAACCAGAGAAAAACACCACAAAGGATGCCGACTATACTTTATAACTGACTTCAAGAGAAATACACTAATTAGGCACTAATCATAATCTTAAATGTTCATCCAGAACGACTATACTTTATAACTGACTTCAAGAGAAATACACTAATTAGGCACTAATCATAATCTTAAATGTTCATCCAGAAAACGTAGAATCAAACATGATTAACTAATTAATTATCAAACATTTATTTCTTTTTTATCCACATTTTTTTTGCAATTACATACATTATTAACTAATCAAACATGAAATCCTTTCAGCACCAAAATGACAATCACAAAAATCTCACCTTTAAGGAACTTGGAGACTGCCAGCGTGTAGAGCCTCCTCTTCCCTCTGCTCCTCCCTCATCTCCTCCACCGACAATACCCCATCCAAATCCCTAATCCCAAACAATCAAAATCACATCTTTTCAATCAAAAACCAATCTTTTCAAATAAAAGAGGGCAGAAATCAATGAGACATACAGATTAACAAGGAGATTTGGGTCGGGTTATCGGGCGGTGATGGGCTCTAAAATGCGCCGTTGTTGCCTGATGGCTTTGCTCCGGTCCTTTGATTGCTGAATTAATTGGCTGGATTTTCTGGCGGGAGCGATGTGAAGGAGGTAACTTTAGCTCACCAGAGAATCAACAACGAAGAAAAAAATCCGACGTGGCCAGGTTTTCGCCGATTTTACTCGGTTGGGGAAGGAAATGGGGGAGAGAAAGAAAACCGACGTGGAGGCGATTTGTGCTTGGGTTTCCCTCTTCAGCCCTGGCGAAACAAAGCGGGGAAAAAAAATCAGCGGAAACAAAAAATCAGACGTGGAGGTGAAAAAACCGACGTGGAGGCAAAGTAAAAGTTTTCCAACGCGTTTTAAAACGAACCAAACAGCCCCTAAGTACCAACTTAGTATATTTTCTTATTCTGACAATAACAAGTTATATTAACTGGATGACGGTGACCAAGATGCCTTTGTTTGCCCCTAAGCTAAATTTTCGAAGATCACCTCATACGACAAGTTATATGCATCTACGTGGCTTAATTGGGCTCATGTAGCTAAGGATTAGCGGGATCTTAACTAGTTGTTATGAGAAACCCCATATTCCTCCTTCTCTATTTTCCATCTATTCTATGTTCATGTGAGGATCCAAAAAACCTCCCTCTTGGATTTTTATCAGTTATAAAAGTGTAATACTAGCACTCATACTGTATATATAGAACTTCACTCCTAATCTCTTCGCTATATCATCACTCCATATATATTTTTATCCTATTGTGCCCTTGTTTGCTTCTTCCCATCCATACTTGAAGCTGACTTTGAGCAAGTGCTTGAGGTTGAAGAATTCATCCCTAGCTAATACAATAGGAGGAAGACAAATACTCAATTTGATCCCCATCATTTTTAGCCCTAACTTAAATAATAATAATAAACTCTTTTCAGTTCAAGTGATAAGCCTAAATACCTACCACAAAAAAAAGTCACATCAACATCACATGACGAGTCATGTGATGTTTAATCGCCAGAAATGTGGGTCCGAGCAAAAAATAGGTCTTGTTGTCAATGTGTCCCACTTTATATACCTAATCGTTATCAGAGTAAGAAAACATACCAAGTTACCGATTGTTGATGTTAGATATCACACAGCAAAATAGAGTCACGGAGCTTTTACAAGGGGCTACTTTCTTCTTTAACTTTATGTCTGATTCTGGACTTAAGATGATTAGGCAATCTACACACAAAGAGTCATAAGAAGGTGTGGATAAATTCTCATGTGGTACCTCCGATGATAAAGTCAGTTGATGAACTTGAGCTTGAGGGGAATAACAGAACTGTGTGTTCTTGTTTTTGTGTAGTGCGTGAAGTCAGTTGATGAACTTGAGCTTGAGGGGAATAACAGAACTGTGTGTTCTTGTTTTTGTGTAGTGCGTGCTCTTGGGGGTTTTAATTGCGAACCAGGGGAATAACAGAACTGTGTGTTCTTGTTTTTGTGTAGTGCGTGCTCTTGGGGGTTTTAATTGCGAACCTCTGGCTATAGTGAATAACATATGTATATAAAGAGGATGTCAATGGCATATTGGTCACTACAGCCATGCAAATGGCGGTGACAAAGTGTGAGCTGGAAGGTGAGTCATCCTTTGCTCTACATGTGTCGGCTGGCGACAGGAGGAAGATCACTTCAGCCTTGATTTGAGGAGCGATCGATGGGACGTGGGTTGATAAGCGGCGTGATGACACATGGTCTTTGAGTAGACATGATATAACTTGTTGTCACGATGGATAAGCTTTGGCGAAGTTATCTTCTAGCTTCCCTGAGAAGCAATGTCCCTCATGGTGGGACTCGTGAGAAGAATCGACTCATCTGAGTGACGACTCGAGGAGTGGTAACTCGTCCCATCTTTCGAGTCAACATGGATGAGTATTGACTCGACTGGGCCGACTAGGCTCTTGGCGAGTTGCCTGCTACAAGAGGGCTGACTAGTACCGCCTTTCGTGTTGACATTGATGAATATCGACTCGTCTGGTCGGCTGAGTTAGAATGTTAGCTAATCTCTAGCTATCTCTCCCATCGGTCGAGATGTCGACTCGTCTGGGAGGTCAGAATGGCACGTGTCGATTAGCACCGCTTCTCGTGTTGACACTGCGGTATCGGCTTATCTGGCTAGATGGAGATGACATCAGATCATATATTTGGAAACAGTTGTATTCCATAATAGTTGGCTCATTTCATTTGGAGTCGGCTTTAGCAAGTCTAAGTGAAATGAATAAAACTCTAGACTAAAGTTAGGGCTACTGATTGCTTGTAGCATTGGTCTGATCGAGCAAACCAAGTGGTAATTCTTGAGTTGGTCGTATTGTGTCAACCTGAATGTTGCGAGTCAGCTTTACAACTTGTAAGGACCATGAATTTTTAATACTAGTTAAAATAATTTTTGGTATTTTAAAACATTTAATTATTATTTTTAAAAGAGTATTTTGTGTTTCTCCCGATTTTCTAGAATTTTCTATGATTTAAAGTCTAAGTTTTATATTTATTTAAATGGTTTTTATATTTATAAATTAATTTAGTGCAGTAAAAATTTATGGAATTAATCCGTTGTGTTATCGATACTATTACGTATCATTTTGAATAATACGTTGTAATATTATTACTATTATGTATTATTTCGTGCATTATGTTATGTTATTAATTATGTATTATTTGTGTAATTTGTTGTATTATTTCTACAATTACGTATCAACTGTCATATTAGTACAACTGGTACGTTTTACTGTGTATATAATTATTCTATAATTATTTAATTTTAAATGTAAGTAAATATATTTTATTTATTAATTATTCTTATTTAATTGTACAATATATGCATATTTCGACTGTTTCGTATCAACTGTTGTATTAGTACAACATGTACGTTTTTAATTGTGGATAATTATTCTGTAATACTATGTTTATTTTTATTTTCGTTTAATTATTACGCCTCAACTTAATTTCTTTTTATTATATTATGTATGTATATATACTGTTAATACCTTTACGTATATATATCTAGGTATATATTTTAGATATATTCTTATATTATATATATCGTTTTCTTCTCTCTCTTTTTCTTCCCAATCACGGCGCCATCTCCGCTCCGACTGCGACCCGACGACGTGCCCGTTCTCCTCCTCTTCTTCCTCGGGTCCAACAACGGCTTTCTCCACCCGCCCTCAGGCGTGCCAGCGCGCCACCGAACCTCCGGCACCCCTCAACCGCCGCACCCCCTGAGTCACCGCTCCATCCCTAGCCTAGAACTCTGCCTCGGAGCTCAGTCGGCCACGATGCCTGCACCTCGTCGGCCCCTCATCCCTTCTGCTCTCACCCGCGCCGACTCGCCGGGTCGAGGGCCATCCCATGCTTAGATTTGACTCCTTGGTGAGCGCTGCTTGGTCGTTGTTCACCGTCGGACGCCGCGCTCCACTCTCCGAGATCCCCGCCGACCAGCGACGCTGACCCGAGTTCGATGCTGTGTTCTACCCACACTCAGATCAGATCAACGTCGAATCATTCGACGTACCCGAGGCAAGATCCCGCTTCTCATTGTCGTTTCAATAATTATATATTATATATGTAGATTAGTTTATAGTATAATTATCTGCGTGGGTTTGATGAATAATATTGAATGAATAGTAGTTATGTGATGAATAGTATTTCAAGGACAAATATAATAAATTAAAGAATTTATTTGGGTAACAGAATTATTTTAGATTATTTATAAATTTTTAGAATTTATGTTGTGGAACGAAATTATTTTATAATAAGAAATGTTTTTAAATAAGTTATTTTGGAAAAAGATTATTTTTGTATTATGACCGTGTGATTGATAGTTGAAGAACCCGACGTTTCACGTACATTGACACCGACATGTTGACACTGTTATTTATACTCACTCATGTCATATATGCACACCTGATTTCATTGCTAGCTTATATAGTCATGTTCATCATATGATTTGCATAAGATTAGTTGTATTTATTTATTATTTCTTGTTTTGTTGAGAACCGTTAGTAGTTCATGTCCTTAGTTGCCTAGCGTGTCGTGTACAAGACCATGATACCTGTGTATTGTTGACT